TGGCGAAATCGAGGCGATAGGATAGATCCTCCTCTCTCTCTCTCTCTGTCCCTTCAACGTTGTTTCTGTAAATAAATCGCGAAGAGGTTGGAAGATCTCGGGGAGATGAAAAGGACCTTGAAGACCTTGAAGAAACAGGTGGAGGGGAGGAGGTTCGGGAGCAAAGCTGATTTCGGGTGGAAATGCTGACTCTACGCGAAATCTTGCCTAATCCAAACGCAAACACCAACGTCTCTCTCTCTCTCTCTCTCTCTCTCTCTCTCGAGGGTCCCGGTGGAAAGGAGATTCGCTTTATTTGACCAAACCCCGTTTATCTCGTCACGGGGGGGGTCTTCCCTCCTATACGCGTTTCGTTAATCAACGAACGGTGGAAAATTAAGATCGTCCCTGTTTGATTGCAGTGGGTGGAAGAGTCGTTCACCAACTTCGACAAGGGCATCAATTGGCGGAGTTACGTTGTCTGCGACGTGGCGTACAACAACGTGAACAATTGGCTGTGGACGCCGTTCATAGAGAGGGGACCGGCGAACCGCATGTACATAGAGATCAAATTCACCACTCGTGACTGTTCCCTGTTCCCAGGAAACGCGCTCAGTTGCAAAGAAACTTTCAGCCTACTTTACTACGAGTTCGACGTGGCCACCAAGGAGCCGCCACCGTGGGAAACGGACAGTTACAAGTTGATCGGTAAGCCCAAACCCTTATCACCTCCCCCCCCCTCTCTCCCCCTCGAGATTCGAAACTTGGTCGCCCAAACTCGTTTCGCGAGGCGAATGATCCACCGATCGGATCGACCTGCGTCCACAGGGCGCATAGCCGCGGGCGAGGGAAGGTTCAACACCAATACCGAGGTGGTGATAAACACGGAGGTGAAATCCATCCCCGTGACGAAGAAGGGCGTCTACTTCGCGTTCAGGGATCAGGGCGCTTGCATCTCGATCCTTGCCATCAAAGTTTACTACATCAGCTGCCCGGAGATTTCCGTCAACTTCGCTCACTTCCCCGCAACGCCGACCGGCCGCGAGGTGGCGTTGATCGAGCAAACGATCGGCACCTGCGTGGCGAACGCCGTGGTGATCGAGCAGCCCACCTTCCTCTGCAAGGGGGACGGGAAATGGTACTTACCCAGCGGCGGATGCCACTGCAAGCCGGGATATCAAGCCGACGTGGAGAAGCAGGAGTGCACCGAGTGCCCGATCGGTAAATTCAAACACGAGGCGGGGTCGCACAGTTGCGAGGCTTGCCCGGCCCACAGCAAATCGTCCGATTACGGGTTCACGGAGTGTCGTTGCGATCCAGGCTACTTCAGGGCCGAGAAGGATCCCAAGAAAATGCCCTGCACGCGTGAGTTTTCCGTTGTCGCTTGCCGATTTCTTCTTCGATCGATCGTTTAATCGTTTCTTTCCTTTTTCTCTTTTTCTTTATTCGTAGAACCACCGTCGGCCCCGCAAAATTTGACCGTCAACTTCGTCGACCAGTCCACCGTGTTTCTCTCTTGGAACGCGCCGCACATGCTCGGCGGGAGGACAGATACGACTTACAGGGTGGTCTGCGATGCATGTAGCATGGGTGTCAAATACATTCCCAACACCGTACGTTTTTTTCATTTTGTTTACACGTGGAAGGTAGAAATCAACGCTCCTTTCGTATTTTTTTCTCTTGTGAACAGGAGGTGTTCAACGACACGAAGATCACGATAACTGGATTGAACGCGGTCACCACTTATCGGTTCCAAGTGTTCGCCGAGAACGGTGTCTCGGCGTTGGCCGGGAAGTCGGAATACGTGGACATCACCGTGACCACGGATGCAAGCGTGCCAAGTTTGGTGAGCAACGTAAGGATTACGAGCGTGAAGAGTTCCGAGTTGAGCATCAGCTGGGACGCGCCGATAACCGAGAACGGGGACAGCGATCTGGTGGAAAGATACGAAGGTTAGAAATTTAAAATTTATCTCTCATCGTTCGCTCTCCATCTCTTTACTCTATCTAAATTTCCCTTTCGATCGATCCGAATTTTTTTTTTGTCGCAGTGAGGTGTTATCCACGTTACGACGACGCCACCAATGCCACCGTCATCCAAACCTCGGAATTGTCCGCGACGTTCAAGGGCCTGAAACCATCCACCGATTACGCGATACAAGTTCGAGCGAAGACTACGCGAGGTTGGGGCGAGTACACACCGGTCGTGTACAAGAAGACGCTTCACGCTATGGGATTAGGTAGGGCGATGGGATGGGATCGTGTGTATAGCCTTCCTTCCTTCGAAGGAAAGAATCGCGTGTTTTCGTCCTTCTTCCGCATATATATATATATATATATATATATGTATATCTCACGTCTTCAGATTACGTCGGAGAGGATGACAATATGCAAGTGAGAATCATAGCGGGTGCTATAGTGGCCGTGGTAGTTCTTCTCGTCATCATCATCATCATGACAGTTTTGATTTTGAGAAGGTAAACGAATCGCGCGGAAATCAAAGACGCAAGAGTTATTATACGTACTTTTAACCCTTACCCGATTATTTGATTGATGTGGTATGATTTCGATGCAGCAGGGCCTCGGACGAATGCAACAAGAAACAGCCGAGCGATTGCGACACTTTGGAATATAGAAACGGCGAAGGTACGTTTTCTCGATGCCGATTCGGCTTCGATTCTCTTTTTCTTTCTTTTATNCTTATCTCTTTGTCTCGAATACGAAAGAAAGATTTTATTGAAAAGTGGTTCGTTCGAAAGAGAAGTTCGTTCGTGGTTTAAAAGAAAGTGAAATCGGACCGATTTCGGGGCAGGAAAAAGAAAAAAAAAAAAAAAAAGGAAAAAAGAGAGACGATGATTTTTCGTGCAAAATTGATATCGATCTGGCCCACGACCAAAGTATCATTATTCTAACCAAATTCTTTCGATTCTTTCTTTTCATGTGCGATTCCCCTAATCTATCGAACCTGCCTCCATGAAAAAATCCATGAAAAAACCCAATGAAACAATGTACACAATCGCCTGCTACTACAGGACTAGTTGTGACCTACAGTAAGTCTTCTCCAACACCTCAAGTTTTTTTTCTAGGAACTCGGTTTTACGTAGTTAATTTTTGCACCCCCTTGCAACTTGAAGAAATGCATCTCTTTGACGCGTTCCAAATTTTTTTCGACGGCACGAACACGCACCATCCTTCTAACTCTTTGTTCCTCTGTTGTATTGTATTGAACATGATGTATCGACTCACTTCGTTACTCACGAAAAGATACACACGAAAGATGTGCGTGCACGTGCTTTTGTGCTTGCGTCGTACAGTGTATCTCTACTATTGTTCTGCATGCGTATTGTTGTTAGTGTGTTATCACTGCATTTGTCATTTTTTTTTTCTTTTTTTACGTATGTTATTTTATTTCGTTCCTTTTTTTTGTTTTTTTCTTTGTCCTGTTTTATTTTGTTTTTTTTTCCCCCACACGCTGAACCAACGCGAGAGACGAAAATAAAAGCAATAAGAAAAATAAGAGAAATCACAAGAAACGCGTTATCCCGCCTTTTTTTTTTTTTTTCTTTCTCTTTCAATCACTCTAATCTCAACATATCTCGTCGTTCCTCCACTCGTTTCGCGTCATTAAAATTATTCATCGAACATCATCCGCTTCTATTTTGTTTGCTGTTTGTCAATTAGTTGTGTTGGTTGTTGTGTTGTTCACAGTGCACTGCAAAATGGACAGTTCACCGATTGTGACAACCCACACCAACAACAAGAGCAAGTCCTCGCGTAAGTCCCAATAAAAACTTGTTCGAAACCGTTTGACCCGTTCGGAAATGGAAAACGAAGCTCTTGATCGACATCCTCACAAAACTCAAACTCGTTCAAACTGTTACACGACACACTGCCCTTATTTTATTTTCGCTCGCATCACGATCCGTTCTTTCCTCTCTCTCTCTCTCTCTCTCTTTCTCTATTCTTATCTCTCTCCTACGTTTCTTTCATCCCTTGAATTGTTTTCAACGTAGATGAGAAACGCACGAAAAAAAAAAAAAAAAAGAAACGCATGAAACTCCTTTATTCTCGTTGTGCCGTGTGCATCCCTTATGCATCTCTCTTGCATTCGTTCCATTTTCTTTTCTTTTCTTTTCTTTTTTTTTTTTTTTTTCAGCCGGCCACCGATTTCCCCCCTCCCCACCCCCTCCCCCCAAATAATAACGTTTCCTCTGTAATAACGTTCCTCTGTCGAAGCGCGGCGAAATGTACCGGATGTTTCGGTGGAACTCGAATTAATTTGGCTCGGAGAGAGTAGCGGCGAGAGAGTCGCAGATGCGTTCGCGGATGTAAATTAACAGGCGACGAAGTAATTCGATTCGACCGGAGCATCCTCCTGCGCTCCGTACCGGCTACGACTAACGTCATTCAATCCGATGCATCGTAATTGAAATCGTTTGGCGTATTAGGCATGCGAGAATTTCTACGCTGGCATGAAAATTAGTTATTGCGCGATCTCTATCGATTTTTTGTCCTTTTTCTTTCTTCTTTTTTTTTTTTTTTTTTTTTCTCTCCTCTTTTATTTATTTTTCTTTAGATCCTCGTTCTTACACGTATATAGTGGAAATTATATTAATATTAGTCGAAGTTTTGTTTTTTCTTTCTTCATTCGTTTCTTTTTCTTTTTTTTTAAATTAGAATTAGATTACGATAGAGAAAGAATATAAATATCTTGTCGCGTAGAATTGTTTTAAGAATATATCGATATAATTGATATATAGAATTGTTTAAAGAATAATTGATATTTCAAAACGATGAAAGTTTTAGAGAGCTCTAGGATAAGCTTTTTGTACAAAGTTTTTTTTTTGTTTGTTTTATATATAGCTTCCTTCCTTTTTTTTTTATTTATTTATTATTTTTTTTTTTTTTTTTT